TTTTTTTTTTTTTTTGTTTCCTCCTAAATAAATAATAATTCCCCCTCACTTTTTTCTCCATCTCTTTTTTCCTTAAATTGTATTATTTTATCTGTTGCAACTTGAGTGGGGAAAACAAAGTTCAGTAGGTAGTATATCACAAAAAAAATTATGGATATGATAATTACCAGGGTGTGGCCACCAGACAGTGCCACTATATCTTTATCAGACAAGCCCATACGATAGAACACCTCCCGAAGGTGTGGCACGCCTAACAATAAAATTTGAAAAGAACATTAGAAAATCATCAACCAGTTTCCTGTAAACAACAATATTTGAGTTTCTCCATTCTGAAGACTCCTGTACTCACAAGTAAACCAGACTGAAAGTTAGAATCCAAATCAAGCAGGGCACTATATACCCTTTGGAAAGAACTGAAACATTTTCTTAAGAAGAAAGTGGGTATCTATATTTATATCTCACGACGTCACAGAAGAATTTCAATTAAAAACCATGGGCTAAAAAGATATACTGGTTCCATAAAGTATAATTCAAACCAAGTGATGTTATGAGACAACTAAAACTTCCATAATATTTAATTCAACCTTTAGTAGCATTTGGAAGCCGCCCTTCCTTTGGAGAAATCTTTGAATCCTGAAAGAAACATGAGGTGGCTACCACTAAGATTGCTGTTGATGAAACTAAAATACAAGCCAATGGACGGAATGTAACTGAAAGCAGTTTCCAAAGGCCAATGGGAAGACACTCGGCCTTAATCAAAAGACAAGATTCATTACATTTCTATAAAATGGACTAATAGTACCTTTCTACCAGGAACAAAATCAATTGTTGGGCCGCCAGTGACTTCAACGGCAACAACGCCTGCAAGCTGTGGGCAGATTAATATGGTTAGAAGCAATTGCTCTTAATATTTATCCACCCATTGACATGTCACCATGAGACGTTGAAAGCAGAATGCAGAATAGAAAGTAAGTTATCTTGAAGAATACTAAAGATTTTATTGGACAACTCCATCCATAATAGATGCAACTGAATGTCACTAACTTCAACACTAGGTTCACCAACAATGTTTCAGAGAGACCAAGAAATTACCTGTGTGTATGAGTAGAGTTTTCCTCACTTAGCTTTTAAATATTCTCACATTTCAGACTGGCAATTCATCATCCAAGTATTACAGTTCCTTTCGTTGGTAACTATTTAAAGTTTAAATTCTATTATTCTGCATGTTTATGTAAAACAGAATTTTATACTGTGCAGCCAGACAGCTGACTTGGCATAGCATGATGGATTCTCTTATGATCAGGCCTTAATATGCTAATCCATCCAACGGCTATTCTCTTGGGCAGGACTTTTACCATTCCTTTTCCTAATTATTGTACTATGCGGGGTTGATTAAGTTGCAAAACAGACAGCAGCCAGACAATGAAGCCTCCAAAAGGCATTAGAACAGATTACCTGATACAGATCTGCATACGTAATTCTTGGGCATTTAGACTTCACTTGTTCTGCAACCAGATACACACCAACTTAAGAAAAGGTGCAAATGTACACTTCCGGAATACATACTCATCCAACAAAACAAGTTCAACAGGACAAAACTAAACAGTCGAATCAACACATATCAATAAGAGTGAAATATTCAATCCTCATGAGTGCATCACCTCTCGCAACAAAGAATCCTTTCATCAAGCTAAGCTACGGAACACGTACTAGAGGATACAATGCAACCATCAAATATATGTTTACCAACAGGTAATCTATATCCTGACAACAAATATAACATCACAATACCAAATATGAAACAACCAAACAGTGTCATTCTAAACGTAACAATAAAAGTCATCTTCAACAATCAATACTCAATAGTTCTACTTAAAGCAATTCAGCTGGTATAACCATAGAAAATCAAACGCGAACTCCACCTCAATAAAAAATAACAAAACAAAACTAACCACAGAAATCGATTGCGATTTTCAAGCCACTGTTAGCTCCGTGAGCGCACTCCTCTTCATTTCGAATCGAACCATTCGGACCGCCAGTCTTCGTGTTCACATCATAAGTCCCCGCGTCATGCCATCTACTCAGCCATAAGCCAATAAACAACCGAAAAACGAAGAAGGTAATCCATTAGCACAATCAAACTCTACTCCGCGAGCTACCACTACGATTAAAACGAGAAGAAAAAAAA